TTGGGTTAACGAGTGGCTGCTTGTTTTGGTGTCGGAATACGTGTGTATCTTCCTGGGGATTAGGCAGGGTTTTTTCTTCTATTGAGTTGTTTATGAGTTAGGGAACAAAACTTCCAGAACACGGCCACACAGCCCGGAAGACCCACACCAGCCATCGTATTCCGGCCATGAAAGCCTTCGACAATACATATCAAAGGGACACTTTCACCAGATGCATTCCTTCAGCACCGCACGGATCTTGCTGGCCTTCCTGCAATGTGTTGCAGTTAAAAATTTCCAGAAATACTGTGGGGTGGATGTAAACTGCTTTCAATATTATGTACCTATCTATTTACGCGTGTATTATAACATCTTGCATTCTGTTCTTCCTTTGGGAAACTCAAGTGGCTGAAATGGCAGTCTTAGTTCGGTTGTGTGAGAGCTCTGTGCAAAGCTCTGAATCTCCTTCATACATACCCAATTTGGGACATTATGCACCAGGAGAGTTTTCTCTTGGGGTCTAAAGGAAATTCAGATACAGGAGAATGGGGAGAGGGACGGGAGGAAGAATGTCAGGAGACTGGTTGTCAGATCATTTTTCAAAACGATATTCCAAACTTGCCATCGAAATACTTGAGTGGATGGATGCAAGGAATGACATTCGGGGAAATAATGTTTATTTGCCTCAAATGTTTTTTATTCAAAGCCTAGGGAGATTGCAAGCATCTGTGTTTCAGTGTAAATGATCTGGAAGCTGTAGTAGTGGAAATCAAGGAGCGCATGAAAAAAAAATGGGACTAACTATAAGGAAAACCAAACGAATGACAACAGGTGCAGCAACCAGCCTTAAAATTGACCGTGAAGAAATGTGTGACAGACTAGCATTTGGCAGAGTAGCCATGAAGGCCTTGGAAAACCTATTCAGATGCCCTAATATTTCTATAAAGATCAGAGTCGTGCAGGCAATGGTTTTCTCTGTGACGCTCTATGGAAGTGAAAGTTGGATTTTGAGGAAGGAGGATAGAAAGGGTATTGATGCTTTTGAACGTTGGTGTTGAAGAAGATTCCTAATGCTAGTCAAGAAAACAAGCAAGTGGATCACAGAACAAATCAGTTCAGAGTTCTCACTTGAAGCACCAGTGGCCATGCTCAAATTATTACACTTTGGACACATTTATGTGAAGACTTGGCTCTCTTGAGAAGTCTACAATGCAGGGAAAGGTGGAAGGAAAGAGAAGAAGACAACCAACCATAAGGTGCATGGATTCGGTTACGATGCTGGTGGGTGCATCATTGGAAGACCCGAAGAACCAGGTTGTGGACAGATCCTGGAGAACATCTGTCTACATGGTTGCTAAGAGTTGACACCGACTTGATGGCACATAATAGTACATTTTCAGCGCAGGTCTTTTTAAGCATTGTTGAAGCATGGTGGGTTACTTGGGTAGCTCCAAACATTGCTTTTTAACTTGTATTATACTGGTTTTCTATACCTCATTCCTGCAGAATGCAAACTCTCTTGACTTACCGTTTCAGCTGAAAATTAAAAAAAAGTTATAATGCCTATAATGTAATTCTCAAAGTATCTACTCACGCTGCATGATACAGGAGGAGGGGAAGGAAAGGCCAAGGGGTTCATGATCATGTCATATCTCACGACAATGTGGCAACAACATCAGATTAAGGTTTACTGTGTTATGGCTTCAGGAAGCAACATTACCCATTGAAGAGCTAAATACTGCACAGAATTAGGCAGAGAGACCATGTCTGGGAACTATTGGCTAGAAGCACATGATCTTATTTGTCTCTTATTATGTATCTAATTTATGCCTATCAGTCTTTTTACAAGGTTGCTAATGACAGCTTAATCCAACTATTCGGCCTGCTTCACCCTCACCCTTTATCACTTTATTGTCATATTCATCCAGATAGTGTTAATATCTGAAGCAACAACTTCAACATCTTATTTCTATGGTATGGGAAGGACTATTACGTTCAATCTAGAGCTGATTCCCCTATAACAGATTTCATGTTGTGGCATGAACCTGAAGACTGGGGAGGGGGAATGAGGAGGAAAAAGAAGCAAGTTACGCTTGAATTTTTCATGAGGGTTTTTGATGCTACGACTTGCTGGTGACAACTCAGAGCGATCTGAACTAGCAATAAAGGCATTATTGTTAGGCTTGCAACAATATTGACACTACAAAAAGCCTTAGGTCTGGAAGTCATATTCTGAGTTGGGGCTTCAAATATCCAAATTCAACTCCACATATAGTTATGATTTACCCATATTTTCTGGGTAGGACCAAACTGCTCTGAACTCAATATAAACTGAATGTCTATGCATGGAGGTGGGGTTGGTAACTGGTCTTCAAGAAGATAAATTGCCAATCATGTTGACATTCTTCAAGGCATGGAAGGAACGCGCGGTTATTTCAACTTTATACTACCAATACTAGTCCCCTTATTTATAGGAAAGCCAGTTTCTAATTTCACATCAATAACGATGGAAGACAATTCTGCAGCATAAGGTTCTGTATATTTATTTCTAAGAATCACTGCATTCTTCACCAGTTTTTATTTCCTTTGCCTTTCCACTTTGACTCATTGATCCATGTATTAATACCTTTACATTTTGCTTTCCTCCAGTTCAAGGTGGTAACCATGAAGTTCTCCCTTCATTTTATCCCCACTACAGCAAGCTTGTAAGATGCTGAGATAATGATTGGCTCTAAGTGACCCAGTAAGATCCTTGGTTGAATGGGGACCTTTTACGTTCCCAATCCATTTACTTTTTATTCTGCAGTGAACATTATGAGGAACATTTCAGAAGCATCTCCCCGTGCCTCTTTCCAGTGGATGTGGACTGAACTTGTCACCAGAGGGGGCTCTTGCTAGCCGAAAAGATAGAGCGAAGTCAAAGAATTTTCTGGTTACGTATAATTCAGCGGACAAATTTAACAGAAACAGCAGAATGTTTTACCTGGGTTCTGCTCGAGTTCAAATTGAAGTTCAAAAAGTCCCCCAACCCTGTTGGTGTATAATCCTCTTGCCCTCAGTTAACATACTGGAATTCTTCTGGTCCTTTACTTTTAATTTAGTTTTGCTTTCTGTACCCTCCGCTCTCAACACTATGAAGGCACAGCTCCTGAAAATTAGCAAGATTACTTTCTCTTCTGCTTCTCAGAGTTTTAAATCAGGATTGACTTCATCAAGCAAGTGTATTCTTCTGGTACTCCTCCTAGTTGGCAGTATATCCCCAGAACAAGCAGCAATTTGGTCATAAAAACCTGGGAATAGCAGCACCAGCTTCCATAACACAGAGAATAGTTTACTTCAGCCAAAGATACTGAGACAACCCAGTTTGGGAGGAGAGCTAGTGTTAAGTCTACAGTAGCCAAAAATCGGAAGAAAACTGGCATCTTTTCTGACTAGCAAATTTTATTAAAAGGCATAAGCTTTCATGAGCCGTAACTCACTTTTCATATCCCTACTTGAATTCTACATCAGTTTAGCCATTCTGTGCATCTAATGATTTAGTAATGATTATTACTAAAACTAATGCCTCTTAATAACATTCAAAATTCCTAATTTGAAAAGGTGCTACCAGATTTCTGAGGTAATCCATGGAATTTTATCCCCAATGTTCAGCTCCGGATGAAAGAGGAAACATCTTTTTCTGCATAAGACAGGAAAAGCAGCATTCCTTCTCAACTAAGGAGCAGCAATATATAAATGAAGATAATCTAGGCAGCTGAAATTTGGATACAAGTGCAAATATTATCGGACAGTTTCACAGAACATTGTGGCGCCGAACAAGGCTGCTAGCTCCTTTGCAAATACCAACATGTGACTGAAGTGCCGGGTTAAAGCAAACCGTATCATTTGTGAAGAAAGTATCCAGCATTTCTATCTGTCAGATCGCTCCCAGAGAGGATCATTTTTAACAAAACACAGAACCTAAATGGCCAAAACCTTTAATGGATTAAAAAAACAACAACAACAACAACAACACTCACATACACCCAGTTGAAAAATCTACCAAGTTTGAGAATCAAAGGATTCTTATCTGGAATATAGTGCAAGCCCCCCCCCC